TATATACTTTTTGCGGGCATCTTCAATGTTAAAAGACCTCTACAAAAAAACATACGCATAGAGGGTGTTAGTATATGTAATTTAAAAACAATATTTTCGTCAAAATAAAGCAAATAACAACAACCATATATGATACCTTTATCTCGGTCCAAATTCTTTCTTTAGCATCCAACTCTCCTTTTTTCCAGCTAGGAGTGGTGATCGGAATGTGCATACGAACAAGCGTACCGATGTAGCTTGTCAGCTTTGCAGAATTAGGCCCAATTAGTTGGTCATCATTATTCCAATCTACATTATACATAATACCTCTATCTCTATCACTGATGATTCCCCGCATGATAGTTATGCCTCGTGTGATGTCCTTATCTGAAGTGTCTTGTGGAACATTATCTTGTGGAACATCTCCTTGTGGAACATTTTCTGAATTATCTTGGTTACTAGCCATTTGACCTGTAATAAAGAAAAATTAGATTAAATTAAATGACATGTATAAAATTCCATAAAGCAAAAAAATGAAATGACATATATATACATTTTATTGAATGACATTGTCTATAATTATATATACTATTACCTTTTTCACTAACATCTCTTTCTTTTCTTGGTAGGAATATGTTCTACTCGTCTCTTAACAATGCGGACGGTTGGATTGATCCAAATACCCTCATTATGATCATTTCTAATGCATGATTCATTCTCATTTTGATCATTTCTGGTAAAAGATTCAATGTCAACACCAGTATCGCCTTGGTCTCCAATCTTTTCATCAATTACTTTGTTAGAGAAAAGCACTATAGACCATTTCGTACTTGTCGGATCAGTGACATAGAACACTTGTTTAGCTTGAGAGGCTAGAATGAAAGGCTCATCTTTGTACCCCGCCCTGTTAAGATCCACTTGCAAAAATCCTGACTTATCCATCCGTATACCATTATTATTTTCAACCCACTTGCAACCGAATATAGGAATCTGAAATTTCTCGTAATCAAAGACCCAAATGCGCTCGATAACCCCAAAATACGACAGATTTGCAAATTTCGGGTTTAAGTCCTTCACAGTAGATATGTGCATTGCTTCAGCTACCAAGGTGACACCACTATTTTGCAAAGTACTTTTATCATCTTGCTCTTTGGTATAAAATGTGTATCCATTAATTGCGTATGCGCTATAAGAAAACACAACCAAACTTGGACCATATGCTAAACATCTCAACCTTTCTGTCACTGAGGCGGGATCTGAACGATACTTTGAATAAATATGTTCCTTAAACCATGGTATGAAACTTCGATTGTGCTCTCGTACAATCGAATTCTCATTTCTATTCGAATTTAAACCTCGAAGAACACCCTTGTGTATTTCAACATACGGCTCAACCTCAATCTCATTATGCAGAACATACAAATGCACTTGATCCCGTTCGACCCTTGATACTGTCATAACTTTATTTCCAATTAGCTTCTTACCTTATTTTTTTTCAACAACATGAGATTTGGGGAGTCCAATTGATTGAACATTTGACAAATATTCAGTACAAAACTCAACCGCTTCTTCAACAATGTATCTTTCGGCAATACAACCCTCTGGTCGACTCCGATTTTTCACATACCCTTTTAATATTTTCATATAACGTTCAGCAGGGTACATCCATCTCATATAAGCTGGTCCGCACAATTGTGTCTCTTTCACAAGATGAACGACAAGATGAACCATTATGTCAAAAAACGAGGGAGGAAAATACATTTCAAGCTCACACAAAGTAACAACTATTTCTTTTTGCAATGTTGGCAAGATCTCAGGATCAATCACATTACTGCAAATTGACTTGAAGAAAAAACACAATTTAGTTATTGCGCTTTTTACCTTTTCTGGCAGAATAGAACGTATACCTATCCGTAGAAAATGTTCCATTATAACATGGCAATCATGCGTCTTTAAACTCTTTAACTTGAGGTCTTTCATAGACACAAGTCTTCTAATATCTGATGAGTAGCCTTCTGGAACTTTAACTTCACTCAGAAACTTACACAATATTTTTTTCTCCTTTCTAGATAGAGTGTAAACAGCAGGTGGTAGGTATGTCCGTCTTCCTTTCTTCACGGGTCCCAACTCAGTTCTTATTCCCATGTCTACCATGTCCTCCCTTGATTTAAGGCCATCCTTAGACTTCCCTTTTATATTGAGTAACGTACCAATAACACTGTCAAATACATTTTTTTCAATATGCATCACATCAAGAAAATGTCTTACGTACAAAGATTTCCAATATGGCAATTAAAAAAAAATCGACCTCTTCTTCCACCCACCTGTGACAACTTTATGTGCAAAAGGCTTGCCAAACTGAATATTCACATCTTTCACCTTTTCAAAAATTTGATCACCTGTCAAACCAGGCGGAGCTCTACGTTGTTCGGTATCTCCGTTGAACACTTTTCTCCATCCACGATACTGATGTTTAGAAGTTAAGAATCTACGATGACCGAGAAAGACATTCTTCTGACAAAGTTTCAATCGCATGGTATCAGTTCCGTCTTCACAAACAGGACACGCTTTTTCACCTTTAATGCTATACCCGGATAGATTTCCGTATGCTGGAAAATCGTTAATTGTTCCAAACAACATCGCCCTCAAGTTGAAACTTTCTTTCCTATAACCATCATAAACCTCCACACCGTTCTCCCACAAAATCTTCAAATCTTCGATTAATGGTTCCAAGTATACGTCTATGTCATTTCCTGGTTGTTTAGGCCCAGAAATTAACATAGACATCATCATGTACTTACGCTTCATACATAGCCATGGAGGTAGGTTATAAATCATAAGAATCACAGGCCATGTGCTATGCGAGATACTTTGAATACCGTGTGGGTTCATTCCATCAGTAGACAATGCCAAGCGAAGGTTTCTTGCTTCTTTTCCAAATTCAGGATAATCATTATCAATTTTCATCCACTGTGGAGAATCTGCCGGATGTCGAAATTTTCCATCAATAATTCTTTCATCTGAATGCCAAGTCAAGTGTCTTGAATCGGTTTCACTATGATACATCCATCTAAATCTCGGGATTATAGGAAAATACCATAAGACTTTTGCCGGAGACAACTTTTTCTTATATCGAGGGGCACCGCATTTAGGACACTCATTTAACGATGCATACTCGTTTCGAAACAAAACGCAATCTTTTGGACACACATGTATCTTATCATAGCTCATGCCAATGGAGTACAACATCTTTTTGGCCTCATACGTTCGATTGGGAAGAACATTATCCTCTGGTAGCATATCTTTCATAAGGGCTAATAACTCTGTGAAACTTTTATCCGACCATCCATTGCCGGCTTTTAAGTTGTACAACTTTAACACCGCTGACAATCTTGTGAATTTTGTACAACCATTATACAACGGTTTCTCTGCATCGCTTACCAACCTCTCGAACATTTTGGGACAATCGTTAAGATCTTCTTCAAGCGCTTCTGCAATTTCTTCGACTCGATCATAATCGTATGTATCTGTGCAATCATCATTTGAAACATAGGTCCTTGCATACCCCGATTCAACATTCCCGTTACTTTTCTCACCATGCATATTCCAACATGTATAACTCCTATCAATTCCATACCGAATTAAATGCGATGCCAACTGAACTGCGTCAACCCGGTTCCCATAACAGCAATACAAACAGGGACATGTCATACGACTGGGGTCTTTGGCGTGTGCAACAGCAAACTTAACAAACTCGGAAACACCATTCTCGTAGTCTTTCGACAATCGATTGGAATACATCCATGTCTTATCCATATCAACTAATTAGTGCACAAAACAGTAGTATACTGCGTTTCTGTCAAAACGCAAAGTATACACGGAATGAATCCGTATCAAGAAAATGCAACATACGAAAGACAATTTAAGACAAATTCATCACAATATATACCAGTAATTTGAGGAAGAAAGTTACCTCTCAGATGTTTTGAACTCTAAGAAACGCGGAGAATGAGCGTCGTACGTCGAACTAGGCCGGGAAACGCTGCAAATTCATAGAATGTTATTCAATATTTCGGATCGATTGTTGAAAGATATATACTATTTTAACATAAAGGTTCACAATAAATGTCACATATATATTTTCAATGTTTGGGAAAGCTATGACAATAATACAACACAAATATTAGAAATAGTGAATTCACAAAGTCAACATAAACCCACAAATATAATCCAAAACACAAACCATTTCAATGTTACCACCAAAATTATGTAGCATGCACCCGGAGAAATAAAACATACATCAACCCACAAATAAGAAACATATAAACAAAAAATAAGTAGAAAAAGGATAGTGTTAGATTTGTAAATACATAATTAAAAGATATTTGAAAAAAGGGAAATATACATAATTCTATATACATAATTCTATAAATACAAAGCATTACAAAAAAGGGAAATAACAATTATAACTAAAAGATATTTGAAAAGATGCCATGTAAGAGACTTTTATATCCATTTTCATATGTTTTTTTACCTTACAATCTCCGGAGGCATTTGATGACCAAACTAAAAAATGAATGTAATTCAAACTTACGGGAACAATTTTGTAACTTAAGTACATTCAAAGACTACAAGTGTCATTTGATGACCAAACTAAAAAAGTTGAAGGTAAAACTAATATGAACTGTGAAGGGTGTAGGGCCAAAGTCAAGAAAGTACTTAAAATTTAACTCATATTTTCAGTTTCTCTAATTATCATCTTTAAGAAGTTATAGAACCATTGTGTATCATCTTCAAAAGTTAGCCAAATTGGGTAAACATGCAAGAATATATAATGAATGACACGGGTGCGTTTAAAAATCGGTATATGGAATCAAGACAGGCCACATAACATCTTTTGAGTGTCATCAACTACAAACAATCCAGAGTGACCAACAAGTAAAGGCTCAAGTGCCGAATTTTCAATTGAACCTTTCGATGATCCAAAGGGGATAAAACTTGTAGAGAATGCTAAGAACAAAATGTTTGGATCAAATGTTTGTTGGCAAAATGCTTATAAAAATCTATTTGCCGGATGTTCTGAGATTTTGGCTACTAATGATAAAAGATCTAGATTAGCTTGGCATTTAAGTGATTGTTTTCAAAGAGATTCTGGCAGGCCTTCCTTTCCTCACTGTGACTCAAAAACACCGATTGCTAAATGTCTGAGAAACTTAGATGATCTTGCTCATAAGGTTTATCTCGAATTCTACCTCGAAACCAACTCCATTTGCTATCAACTACAGTTAAGTGAAGTTTTTTTTTTCTTTCAATTTCTAATATTATTCAATAATTCAATTTTTTTAAAGAGTGATTCTTTGATGTTTTTGCCTCAACTTGAACTAAGTTTGTATATTTGTACAGGACACATGCATTTAAACATGAAACTGAGAGACTTGTAACTGAATTGAAAAATTCTGCTCAATATGTGGAGGACAAGTTAGATAGCATTGAAGAGAAATCAGATTGTCTATTACAAAACTCAAAACAAATTTCCGAATCTCTCGAATCAGTTAATAGTCACACACAGTTAGTAGCACAAACTGTCAAGAATGTGGAAGGCAATATTGATGTGGTATTAAGACATTCCAAGAGTGTCTATGAGCAAACTACGGAAATTGCAGCGTCACATTCGCAACTAAAAGAAGGCCAAGAGGACATGAAGAGGAATTTAGAGGATGGAGTAGCATTGCTTCAAGAATCTTATAGCTATTTGGGTAAAGAAATAGAAAAGTTAAGAGATGAAACCATTGAGATTGAGAATGAGGTCATCAAAGTAGGAGATGCAATGTCATCAAAGATGAATAATCTGCAAAACAATGCTGAAGATATTGGAAATATGGCAGGGATCTCTTTAGATAAACAACAACAACTTTTAGACGGACAATCCACAACACTCGAGGGTCTAAATTCATTGAATGAGGTTCAATTCAAAGCGCTAGAAGAAAGCAGGTAAGATTGTTTAAATGCCATAAATTTGTATTCAAAAAATGTTTGGCTCAATATTAATCTCATAGTTGATGAAATGTAGGAAAAGCGTACAATATTTTGCAGAATATGGACATAGGCAACAAGAAGAGCTTCTAAAGAGGCAAGAACAAATTAAAGGACTACATGATAAACTAATGGAAAATTTAAAAACAATTTTGTATGCTCAGGTTTGCAGCTTTTTTGGCCTATTAATTTTCCTGTATCACAACGTTGGTGTTTTCTAACAAGAATCCAAACATATAATAACAGCATTATCTATCCCTAGAAATACTCAGATAATGGAAGAAGAAATCGGAACAGGCCAGAACATGCATAACTAAACGGTCAAATAACGGAACAGATAATGGAATAAGAAGAAACTTACCAAGATGGACAAGAACGCAGTGAACGGCGGCGACGACTGAAGAAGAGGGAAGAACGACGGCGACGAAGGAAGACGAAGCAGCAGTGAACGAACGCAGCAATGGGATTCTGGAAACGCAACAATGGGACGAACACGAACAGGAACAGGAACGGAATGCAAGGAAGACGAACAGTAACGGCGACAAACAAACGAACAGGAGCAGGAACGGCGGCAAGAATGAGAGAAACGAACGGTAACAGGAAGAAGAAATGAAGAAGACGAAGAAATGAACAAGTGAGGGCAAATTTCGTATTTAGGGATATTTAATTTAATTATAAAACAACCTACGAAAGCGCTTTTAAAAGCGCTTTCTAATACCCATATATGAGAGCGTTTCTGAGGTAAAAAGCGCTTTCGTATGTCCCCCATATAAGAGCGCTTTAGAAAGCGCTTTCGTAGGTCCCCCTTTCAGAGCGCTTTTATAGGCCACCTATAAGAGCGCTTTTCAAAAGCGCTTTCGTAGGAAACCCTATAAAAGCGCTTTTTTTAAGCGAATTTTTTTTAAAGGCTACGAAAGCGCTTTCTCTTAAAAGCGCTTTCGTAGATGCGCTGCCAAAAATTGTTTTTTTCGTAGTGATATATATATATATATATATATATATATATATATATATATATATATATATATATATATATATATATATATATATATATATATATATATATATATATATATATATATATAAACATATACAATCATATAAGATATCAAATATATTTTAAACGCAACTCTTTAAAGTCTTCCCTCCAAAATCCAAATTCAAACAGTCTCTAACGATTTCTTGAACCTTAGGCCCAAAGGGCCTCTAAAAATACTTCTTCTCTAACAGAGAGATAGGTCATTACATCATGAGCATACCACACACAAAGTCTCTCACCTTACATCAGCTGACTTTGTCATATCACTGTAAACATCATAAACATCACAAAACACAACCTCTATTATACCACCAGAAACACTGTAAACCTCACTAAACAAGGCCTCTCTCCGCCACGAGCAAATCTTAACCACCAGTATTTTTAAGGGCTTTGAGTATCCCCTACATGCGTAGAGATACCACACACACTCGTACTTTTGACAAGTACAGTGGCGTACACCATAGAGATCTAGTAAAACTAATATGGGCCACACCTTCCGTTACAATTACCATACTCACTACCACCCCCTTTTTTCCTATACCCATCCATTATTAACCATGTTTAACATAAGAGCTCCATCCCCTGCGCTGGAGAACACAAATGATAGTGGTGATGTCAATGCCCTGGCGAAGATGCGCGGTGTCATGGATGAACTTCTCCGTCAAAATCTAAACCTGGAGGACAACATTCTTAACATTCGGCAATGCTAGCAACAGACCAACCCCTTGGTGAGATGGAGGTACTGGACCCCCATCCACTTTCAGACGAAATATGGAAATCGGATGCCCCTAAACGGTTCAAGCCTCTTTCTAGAGAAGTTTGATGTACGTAGTGATTCTAATGAATACGTCGCCTCCATCACCACCCATATGGCCATCATTGGAGCACCTGACTTCCATAAGTGCAAATTGATGTTTGAAACCTTAAGGGATGCAACCTTGTGATGGTGTATATAAGTCTGTCCCGAGCCTCTATCACCAAGTATTAGGGTTAGTAGAGCTAGTCAAACAACCATGAACCAAATCAAATCACCAAATCAAGAATTGAAGTTGAAATAAATGAATCGTTATGTTTGGCTAATGAACCAAATCATATTGCATAAACATTTCTAGAATCGAACCAAAATTGAAACTGAATGGGGGTACTGGACCCCATCCACTTTTAGACACAATATGGAAAGCGTGTATCCCTAAAAGGTTCAAGCCTATCTCTTTAGAGAAGTTTGATGTACGTAGTGATCCCTATGAACATGTCGCTTCCATCAACACCCATATGGCCACCATTGGAGCGTTTATCCTCCATAAGTGCTAATTGATGTCTGACACCTTAAAGGATGCAACCTTGCGATGATATATAGGTTTGTCCCGAGCCTCTATTACCAACTATCAGGAGTTGGTAGGGCTCGTCAAAAACCGATGAACTGAATCGAATCGCTAAATCAAGAACTAAAGCTAAAATAACTGAATCGTTATGTTTGGCTAGTGAACTAGACCATATTGCATAAGCAGTTGTAAAACCGAACTAAAACTGACACCGAACCAAACCAAAACTATAACTGACTGAAACTGAAAATGAAAAAAATACTAAAAACATATGTCTCTGCCGCTTGTAATATGTTGTTAATTTTGAGGATGCACTCTTTTCCTTATGTACCTACTACAGTTTGTGGGTTTTTAATGAGACACGTCACTCTATTATCATAAGAATATGTATTGATATTCACTCCTTTTGCATAAAACTAAAAGGTTTGAATGAAGGTTGCCCTTAGAGGAAATCAAAACGCTAGATCCCTACGGAGGATTCTTGTCGCCTTAAGAAATCTCATGGGTTTTGTCAGAGTAACAAATCTCTCTTAGATTTGCTTTCGATTTGAAATTCAGGGGTCTCGGTTATTTGGAAAATACAAAATAGAATTATTTTCTTTCAGGAAAGTTTGTTGGTTAATCAACGAGTCTATTTGATTATTAGTTTGGCATTGAAGTGAGTCTATTCTCATGCTTCAGTTCCTTCCCTCTTCTTGTTTGACTGGGAGTAGGATCCACTCAACTGTATTCAAGAGTAAGAGTGAGTTAGGTGGCTAACTGCATGTTTCTTGTAGGTGGTTGTGTTTTGTCTTCTTTCAGCTCATATCTTTTGGAAGTGACTTGCTTCAGTCGCTTAAGAGGCAATTGATTTTTGCTCTCTTTGATTCTTGTTTTTATTTCTGGTGATGAGTTGGTTTAGTTTGTTGAGTCCGTTATACTTTTTCTTATGGATAAATTTGCTTTAAGCTTGTTTTATTTTATCTCCGACCTTTGTTTTGTGTCATGTGTGTTTATATTGTTTTATGTATTTTTTTTATTAAAAAAATAATGAAGTATCTTACATATATAATAAAAAATAGGCGTCTTTAAAAACATTTATGTTTTTATTTAATATTTGGCCAAATAAATAATTAAAAAAAGAGAAATGATAATCACTTCTCTTAAAACAATCTTTAAATGCTTAAATTAGTAAGATTTTTTAAGAATTTAATAATTAATATATTGAAAATTGGAATAACTAATTTTTATAAAAAATAATTTTTTATTTAATTTCTTAAAAAAATGCTCTGAAGACACTCGTTAAGATAACCCGAGTTTTACTAGCTATTGGTTGCTAGATTACATTATTCAGTATAAGAACGACCCTTGGAAACAACGATGACAATTAATGTAGTACTAGTATACATTTAAGATATATTAGTTCACTAAAGAATACAATCAAGACACAATATTAATAACATACTGATATAAAGTATAAACTGTTTTTTATGATAAAGAAATAATTAAGATAGAAAAGATGGAAGAATATAAAGAGCAATAAGAATTGATTATAATTGTTATTATTTACTTTATTTTTAATCGAGATTATAAGTGTTACAAGAATAATAAATAATTTTTTCACCCTAAATTAGAATTTACATTATACAATGATGAGATACTAATATGTTATTTATAATAAACCTAACATACTAAATTAATGAGTTTTTTTCACAAATTCTCATTACAAGCTAACTTAGGATACAAGCTATCTTAAACAATTGGACATAACAAACAGGCTCAATTCGAAATACTAACAACCCTAGCATTTCGACACCCACATACTAGAACACACTTCACCTACAATATGTAGGTCTTCGACACCAGTATGTGAACATACTACGACGACATGCATAAATCCCGTCGAACCAGAAGTTACTCTTCGATCCAATAGAGTTTGATCCAATATCTGATAAATCTCCACCTTCAAACAAACTCTAATATCAAAGAACAAACTAGCTTTCTTCATGCAGCTTTATTAACTGCACACATTGGAAAAACTTGCAACTTGGCAATGTCTTGGTGATCATATCAGCAACATTGTGATATATCGAAACCTTCAGCACTTGGACTTCTCCATGCTCGATTATTCCTCTGATGAAATGCAGTCTCACATCGATGTGTTTGGTTCACTCATAATATGTTAAGTTCTTCGACATGTGTATTGCACTTTGACTATCACATTTAATATTGATAACTCGACCTTGAAGTTTCAGCTCATTAACAAAACCTTTAAGCCATAATGCTTCTTTCACAGCTTCAATGAGGGAAATATACCCCGCCTTAGTGGTTGATAAGGCAACAACCTTCTGAAGTGTCGCTTTCCAACTAATTGTTGTGTCAAACATAGTGAAAATATATCCAGAAATAGATTTTCTAGAATCCATACAACCCGCATAATCAGAGTCAACATAATCTTTGATTACTGCTTTACTATCTTCACCCAAGGCTCCACTATAAATTAGGACTCTATTCAGAGACCCATTTATGTACCTTAGAACCCACTTCAATGCTTTCCAGTGAGCCTTTCCAAGATTCGCCATGTACCTGCTTACAAGACTTACTGCATATGCTATGTTGGGTCTAGTATAAAGCATATCACACATCAAAGAACCTATTATATTAGTATATGGGATTCTATTCATATAAGCTCTTTCGACATTAGTACTGGGACCCTGATCTATATTCAACTTGAATTGAGGGTTTGTCGGAGTCACAACAGGGTTTGTTGAGAATCTTCCATATGTATGTGTCATGCCCCAAATTTATCCTACCTTTTTACTTTTTATTTGGCTTAGGCTTTGCATTTCATTCATACATTCCACATAGATTCATAACATTCGTTCATTCAATACGGCATGGGTTCAAGAATCAATATTTGTGCAAGTTAAGGCTTTACAGTGGTTTCGAGGCTTCTTCATCAGACATAGGCAGATTCAACTGGTTCTGGAGCAGTGAACTGAGTGGAATTAGGTTTTGAAGTATGGATATCATGGATTTCTTATTCTTCAATCTACGGGGCTATTTCTTCATCCGAATGCATCAGAGTCTGGATTAGGGTTTATTTCCCTATTGTTTGTCAAGAGATTTGGGTTTGATCATTCACATGAGGATCTCTTTGTCTCTACTGAGTCAAGTTATTCATATGTGGTGTTGAGATTGAGGTATTCATCCAAATGTGCTTGAATTCAACATGTCTAAGTAATCCAAGGTTATTT